TATTTTAATTTTAATTAATTTTATTTTATTTTTTATTATTTTTTTATTTAATTTTAAATTTCTTAATGCCTTTGGTGGTTTTCGTTCATTAGTCACGACATTTCAAGCGTGAACGTCACCACTGCCAGGCAACCGGGTTCAAAGGGATGCCGGTTCATGTCTTTTTTGGTCGTCGACGAGTCGACTGTGGCCTTTTTGGGGGGGGTGTCGAATTGAAAAAACAGTAGGTTCAGGTCTTTTGTAGTCGTTTTGGGGGGTCGAAAAGGAGTAGGTTCAGCTCTTTTCTTGGGGCCGAAGGCAAGCGGGTCGTTCGATTTGGTCGTCGACGAATCGAGTTTGGGTTTTTTTGGGGGGGGGGTGAAAGGCAAGGGGGTCATTCGATTTGGTCATCGACGAGTCGACTCTGGGCTTTTTGGGAGGGGGGTCAAAATCGAGATCGAGAAAAAGGGTCTCATTTCCTCGGCGACTGAAGCCTCAACTTGACTTGGCTTTGGGCAATTGGTCGGTTCATCAGGTTCGTCAGGCTTGTGATGGGCGGCGACCACGTTTGGAGGGTTGAGTGTTTTTGGGGGGGTTGTCGGGTGTTTTAGTTTTTTCAAGTCGAGGGTCGTGGAACGAGCCCCCTACTAAATCTCATTTTTGTGCCTTCTGAGTTGAATGGTCTTCCCCCGATGCAGCCAAAATGAGGATGCGGTCGACGAACAATTCAAGGCTGGGTTGAGGTTGTGAGGTGACCGGCCTTGGGCAAGGACTGAAATCGAACTTGGGTCTTTTTTTTTTTTTTTTTTTTATAGCTTTTTTAAGTCGAGGGTCGTGGAGCGAAGCCCCTACTGAATCCCACTTTCGTGCCTTGACGTCTACTATTTAGATGTTTCTGTAGATAAGTCAAGTCAAGGGGGTAGAGTGATCCCCGAATGTGTGTATAAAAAAGTTAGTATGGGTGGGCAAAAAAGAGTGTACAAACCACAAAAAACTCTTGAAAATGCAGTATAAAGCCAGGCATCCACAATGCGTAAGGTGTGATAAACAAGGCCCAGTGCATCTCGCCTGCTTTCTGAGAGGACTTGTCCCTTCGCCACTTCTGCCTCCCGGCCCGCTTTCGTTGTCCTTGGAACTCAAAACTCCGTCCCCTCTACAACCCCTCTGCCCTGGCTGCGCCCCCGCACTACGCGCGGTTACAGTTTACGTTAGTAGTATAGGGAAGGGATAGGTATAAAATAACATTCACAAGTCTGAGGGTGGGCTGGACATCTTGACCGACCGATATCATGGATCCAGTTTTTATAACACCTCCAAGGGTTGTAGCGGTTGCAAGACTTCGTTCCTGTGGCTGAGGGTGCCGGTTGGAGGCGGTGCGTGAACTGCGGGGCCTGATGCCCTAAAAGCACGGCGGGGCCTGGTGCCCTAAATGCACACTGATCAGTAACTACTGCTTGCTTAAGACTGTTAAAACTTAAACTTATATATTATATGCTGTGTACGGATCCGGGCGGCCCGGCCGATTGGCGCCTGCCCGGGGGAGGTCCCGAGCGGCCTGGTCGGGCGGGCGGCCCGGTTGGGGGCCGGGGCCCCCCAACACACCTTGTTGACGGGGGGTTTCCGACCCCGAATCGGCGAGATTTCGCCTCCCCAGGGCCTACAGGGTCCGACCACGCCGAGAAAACGGCGCGTCGGGCCCGTGAGGCCGGTTTTTTTTTTTTTGAATTTGGGACGACCCTCTGGCCGTTGATCATCCATGATCGACGACCAAAGGGCCGTTCACTTTTGGAGGGAAAACGGAGGCCCCGTTTGAACAAGCGACTGGCTGGGGTGGCCTGCATTGGCTGTCCAAACGGGGCATCGATACTTGCTCCAACCGCCTGCGTTCATCGTTGAGTTGCCCGTCGTCGAAGTAGCTGCCCCTCGTCGCCATCGCCTGGGAGCTTCACTCGCCAGTCGTCGTCGAGTCGCCTGTCACCCATCGCCAGCGTCGTCGATCGCGGTGCTCCTGCCTGCCGACAACCCCTGCCGCCCGTCGACGTGGAGTGTCGATCTGTTCTTCTTCTTCTTTCCTCCTCCTCCTCCTCCGCTCATTTTTCTGCTTCTTCTTCTCTCCTCCTCCTCCTCCCCCTCTCATCTTCTTCATCATCATCATCTTCTTCTTCTTCTTCTTCTTCTTCTTCTTCTTCTTCTTCTTTTTCTTCTTTTTCTTCTTCTTCTTCCTCTTATATCTCTTCTGCTTTTCGTCTTCCACGACTTCTTCACGCCTCCTCCTTCTCCCCTTTTTATCTTATTCTTCTTCTTCTTCATCATCTCTCGTCGTCGTCCCCCCTCATCTTCTATTTCTTATTCTTCTTTCCTCCTCCTCCTCTTTCGAGTATCTTCTTTTTCTTCTTTTTTTTCACATTCGTTAGCAATAGGTCGTGAGATAAACGACAGGTAAGGAAAAAAAAAAAAAAAAACTGCTCCACTCGTCATCTTCTTATTCTCCTTCTTCTTCTTCTTCTTCTTCTTCTTCTTTTTCTTCTTCTTCTTCTTCTTCTTCTTCTTCTTCTTCTTCTTCTTCGCCGATCATTCTTCCGCCTCTTGTCTTCTCCTCCTCCCCCCCTCTTATCATCATCATCATCTTCTTCTTCTTCTTCTTCTTCTTCTTGTAGGCATGCCGCCACAGCCCGCCGCCATGCCCCGCCACCATACCATACCGCCCTGCCGCCGCCGCCTTTTTTTTTTT